CAAGGCCCATAGGCATCCCAAGGCCCGTAGGCATTCCAAGGCCCGTAGGCATCCCAAGGCCCGTATAGGCATTCCAAGGCATCCCAAGGCCCGAATAGGCATTCCAAGGCCCGTAGGCATCCCAAGGCCCGTAGGCATCCCAAGGCCCGTATAGGCATCCCAAGGCCCGTATAGGCATCCCAAGGCCCGTATAGGCATCCCAAGGCCCATAGGCATCCCAAGGCCCGTAGGCATCCCAAGGCCCGTAGGCATCCCAAGGCCCGTAGGCATCCCAAGGCCCATAGTAGGCATCCCAAGGCCCGTATAGGCATCCCAAGGCCCGTATAGGCATCCCAAGGCCCATAGGCATGCCAAGGCCCGTAGGCATTCCAAGGCCCGTAGGCATTCCAAGGCCCGTATAGGCATTCCAAGGCCCATAGGCATCCCAAGGCCCATAGGCATCCCAAGGCCTGTAGGCATCGCAAGGCCCGTAAGCATCCCAAGGCCCATAGGCATGCCAAGGCCTGTAGGCATTCCAAGGCCCGTAGGCATCTCAAGGCCCGTAAAGGCATTCCAAGGCCCGTATAGGCATCCCAAGGCCCATACCAGTTGTTCCACTAAACCCTATCACCCAACAGTCCCACCGCTCGACCCGTCCAGGCTGGCCTCGCCCGAGTCCTCGGAAAGGCGGAAGGGTGACCGGGCCGATCGACTCGGCTCGTACCAGTCCGGTGAACCGACTGGGTCACAGAGCTTGAGCAGTCCCGGAAAAAGGAGTGAACAAAGGGGTGGTGTTTGGTCCCTAAGTGAGTGGATCATGGGCACCTCTAACCTCTAACCTTAAGCACCCCGACATGTGACTGCTGGAGTGAACCTTTTCCTTTATGTTTCGGAGATCCGGACCGTCAGAATCTTCCCGGCACCGGACGGAGATCCGGACCGCCTCCGAAGCCAAAACGGGCACCACACGGCCGAAGTCCGGGTGCGGAACGTGCCCGCCGACGGGGTTTTCAGGGACAGGAACCGTGCGATCTCGGGTCATCTGGGCATGGGTCAATGGCTAGGGTACCCCCTATTTTCCACCATTTCAGTAGGGATTATCAATATAAACCAATGGCTGGGGGGTACCCCTAGCCATTGACCCATAGCCATCTGGCTTCATTGTTTCAATAGTCTTGGACTCCCAGGGTTGGAGGAATACCAACTGAGCATTCCGTCGGGTCTCATGAAATGCTGGAACCCCACATGGGCTGCACATGGGGCCTCCCTGAAAAATCATCCAAAACCTGGTTACCCCTGTGGGGAACAAGCAGGTTCTTATGATAGACCTAAAACCCTGTGTTCTTCACAGCTTGGCCACGGCAAAAAACATGTCTTTCACTCAGAGTTCCATTTGATCCGCGCCCCACATTTCTTGGGGGGCACGTCCGGTTTTGGGGTGTTCCGACAAAACCACCGGGGGCGGCCCAGCCCATATAGGGTCACCGACCCAGGTGAGATCCGACGAGAAGAGACAATTTCTTCGGAGTCGGAGTGGGTGAGATCCGGGTGGTTGGGGTTCGCTTCTATCACTACTTCTCACACCAAGCACTCGAACGGAGCCGAGAAATCGGGTACAGTTTTGAGGATCACCAACGTGAAGCTAATGGGTTCCATCTTGAAATCACGGGGTTGGACAATTCAAGAGATTCCAATCTCTTTCATTCCAGTTGCACGAGGATCCATCCGCTCCACAAGGATCGATCCTTTCACCGTTGGTGAGCCTGGTTGAGATCCATCCCAAAGGCAGATGGCAGTGTGGGCGTGGCCTCGAGGCTGCGCTGGTGGGCTCAGAGTCCACAAACCATGCAACAGGAGCTGCAACAGGAGCTGGAAGAACATTGGATCGGTTGGAGGTCGACCAATGAAGGACTGACTTGCACGCTGACTGGAGCAACTTGAAAACGAAGAACTCACCTTGCCTTTGGGATGGTTGTGTATGTGTTTTTTTCAATCTCATAGCGTGCATGTGGCAACTGCAAATCTGATGAGTCAGAAAACCACAGTCTTTGTGGACCAAATGTTTTCTCTGGGGCCCATTCAGTTGTTCCCATTCACTTTATTCCCCAGTGCGGGCCAGAGTGGGGCCGAACACGTTTGATTGTTTCATCGTTTCAAACAGCAAACCGTTTTAAACCTACGTCTATGCACGGCGATCGCCCAGCCCAAACCTCGCCCCATCGTTTGGACACCATGTTTCCATGTATTCCAGGCAAGGAAAAACAAACGTTGCTGGCCACGTCCGCCACGTCAACCGCTCACCTTCGGTCCCTGTGGTGGGGGTCGGAACGGTGCGGTGCGTAGAGCTCTTCGTCGGAAAGCATTGGCGCGTCTGGTCGTCTTCCAACATGTAAACCAACTAACTTCACTGGTTTCAGCAGTGAAAACCACAGGTTTCAACCATCAAGTCCACCGATGTGATTGCTGCTCCCCTTGCGAAGCTCAGCTTCGCATCGCTCCGAGCGACGAGCGACGGAGAGCCACGCAGAGCGGTGCGCTGTCTGAAAGAATCGGGATGTGAGGTTTCTATCCTTAGATGTGGGGAGTGATTTGTATAATTCTTCATCTTTTTGACTGCAGTAACACCGAAGTAGACCTACTTTTGCAGGAAGACTTCTTGTACCACTTGAAGTGAAACGATACCATGACCCCGTAAGGGGTGTCATGGTATAAGTCCCTCCAAGAGGTGAGGGAGGGGGTGTCCATTCCATCTGGCGATTTTTGGTGCGATTTTTAGTACCAGGAGTCTGGGTTGGAAGAACCATGTCGTTTGATCACCGGTCATGAAAAGGGTCTCGTGAGCATATACCGCTGAGCGTGCCCCACGTACACCTGGGAGACGCTGAGCGTGCCAGGCCTGAAGCGTGCAGACGTCAACGGACGTCCACGAACGTCATTGGCAGCGGGTCAGGTCACCTGGGCACCCTGGTTGAGCCCCGAAAATGAAGAGAGTGCCTCTATGTTCGGGGATGTCAACCGAGCTCCCGGCGCCATGAGTCACAGCGAGCTGCATGGCTTCAATCTACTTCTACCATCAACTACCACCAACTGCCCGGATCCTGCAAGAGTGTCGGTGGTTTCCTGTGTGTGCATGTGTGTGTGCGTTCGTCAACCAGAAAACCACCGGATTTGTCCAGTCGGGTCCTGGTAGATGAGCTTCAGACGAACACCCCCACACCGAACTTCGGTCCCAAGGCGCCTGGGTGAGATCTCTCTGGGTGAAAGCTCCGAGGGCCTCTCCTCAGGGCGGGACTGGAAGCGCCGTGACCGGAACGACGAGGGACGAGGTCCCAGCCCAGCGCGGAACGGCGCGCTGGTCGTCCCAGCATCGAGGCCCAAGCATGGCCGCGTGGGCCATGGCCGTGTTCCATGCCGAAGTGCTCGCGCTCTCCCGGTGACAGTAGTCGAGCTAACTTAAATCGGTGTGTAAAACCAAAAACAAAGCATCGAAAACAACACATGTCACAAATCCAAACAAAGTTCACCCAACGAATCTACTGACCAAAAATCCCCCCTCTCCATTTGCCATCAGCGACCTGGTTCCCGTCGGCATAGCTCCCGTCGGCTGAGTGCTGAGCCATCCCGACGAGGACATAGCCGCTCCCCTCTCCGCTCCTCGGAGCCACGGGACGATGAAACGGGAAGCTTCTGGGAGCGAACTGGGGAACCGAAAGGTCGTAGATGGATGCGGGTCCGTTGGGGTCAGGTGGATCTGCTTCGTCCTTTGGAGCTCATGGGAGTCTGGACAGTTCACTTGAGTCTGGACAGTTCACTTGAGTCTGGA